GCGCGTTGGCCCCGCCCCAACAGCTCGGCCACGCCCCCAGCCTCGCCGCGCCTGCGCACTGGCCGCCTCTCGCGGTCCCTGGGCGCGTGCGCCGAATATGCCAGGCCTAGCGGACGTCTCCATTAGGTGGACGGCGGAGGGGTGTGGGGCTGGCTGCTGTTCTTTCCCCAGCACTTTGAGCCAGTTTCTCCCGTGGAGAAGGCCTCTGGGGTAGGACCCCACTGTCTTGTACCTTGGCAGCTACAAAGCGCATAACGCCTAGAGCTCCGTAGGCGAGGCGGCGTGAGCTCAGGGCTGCTTCCCCCGCGGCGCCTGTCGTGGTACGCCCGGCTCCGTTTCCCGTTCGCGGCGCGGACGGCCCGCCCTTTCCTCAGCAGACCCGCGCTGCAGGTCCCTGCTCTTGGTCGTGTTGGTGGCTGGCGTGTGAGTACCGCGACCCCGTCGTAAGGAGCGCACGCGCCGGAGAGGCCCTACGGGCCAGCGCGAGTGGGCCAGCGTGGACCGCCACAGGGTCCAAGGCGACGGCCGCCCTGGGCGCAGACCCCGCGCGCCTCTTGCTGAGCGCGTGGTTAGACGCACTGCGTGGCCGGCGGCCCAACCTGGAACCCGCCCTGAGATTGGTGGGGCCGCTGGGTTCGGGGTCTGACTTCGTCCTCGTGGGAACCTTAGCACCCATCTGCCCCAGCTGTTCGTGCTTGTAATCCTTGCGTTCGTCCAGCACGTGTTAAACACCTATAGCACACCGAGCTCTGTGCAACCTTTGCGAGACTTAGATGGTTCCCAAACACGCGAGAGAGTAAGGAGTAATGTATTGTGCTGAGTGGTTCGAAAGAGACAGTTTTGGTGTAGGTAGGTGGTCTGGGTGGAGAGGGGACGTTGACAGAGACTGTCGTACTGTTCCTAGGAAATGAACACTTTCAGAAGGCTGAGCAAGTGAGGTGGGGGGACTTTGGGTTGGTTATTGAGTGAAGGGCCCCTCTTAGCAAAAGAACGCTGAAGCTAAACTTTGGGGTGTTCCCTACCAGGTTGGGAGGGATGCTTCTTCTTAATGTTGCCAGAGGCAGAAGGAAATGAGATCTCCAGCTGTTGGTTTTCCTTTCCTGAAACTGTGCCCAGCTAGGGGTGGGAGATGGCAAAAGACAGATGTGACAGGAGCTCCCAAGTTTCCCTGAGAAATGCTTTCTCACCTTGTCCCTGGCACAGGTCCAGCTGAGCTCCTAGGCCTTTTTATGAAGTGGTCTTGAGCCAGTCCTGTGTGTCAGCAGAATCAAGGATCTACCAGGAAGAGGCAGGACCTCTTAAAGGAGGGCAGGTCCCCTTCTAAGCTGCATGGTGACCAGTTCAGGCTGCTATTTTTCTTATCTTGGAGTTAAGGGATAGCAGCACCTCCCTACGGGCTACTGGGGTGGTGTGAGTGGAGAAAGACCACTGGTACCTTCTTGCCTGGGATCACTGAATGGCTTCCTGCCCTCTGGAGGAGCCTGATGGGTGTAAACCTTGGAGAGCTGGGTAAGGGAGCAGGGCTCAGCACAGGTGGGCACATGTGCTTGAAGAGAGCTTGGTGGTTGAAGAGAGTGTCTCTGAGGTGTTGCTGCTGCTGTCGGCGTTTCTGGGGCTGAGGGCAGGAAATGAGACATTAAGCCTTTGTAGGGCCCTTGCCTTGTGCCAGAATTCCAAGATGACATGTGCATGTTGGGAATTGCAAAAAAATGAGGCATTTGTGTGAAATGCTGGTGTCGAGCCCCTCACCTCACTGACTTGGCAGCATTCGGTGGCCATAACACTTGGAGCCTTAATTTTCCCACAGTGTAAGACATCACACTCTTGTCCCCAGCTAGGTGTTCTCATTCCTGTGTGAGGACACACCTGTCTTATAAAGTCAGGTGTATATGTGGGGGAGAGTCAGGAAAGCAGGAGGCACCTAACAGGCCCCATGGCTGAGTTGGGCCGATTGATGGGTCAGCCCAGGGTACTGTGGACTGGGACAGAAATAGAAGTGACAGAGATGGCATTTGAGGCAAGAAAGCTGTTGGGGCTGGCCAGGCCTGGGGTGGGGTGGCTTAGTTAGCTCCAGTATGCAGGGAAGCAATGAGTAGAAACTTGGTGCTGTGGAGTTTGCAGCCTGAGAGAAAAGGCCAAAGGCTTCATTCCCATGCAGAGATCTGCTCTTTGCCACGTGGCTGCATTCCTGTCCTGAATAAAAAAGCCCCTTCCTCTGGCATCCTTACCACATTTCAAGTGCTAGCAGCTGCCCTTTTGGACAAGGAATATGTCAAAAATTCTCTTGGACAGCACTGATCCACGAACTCAGGCCGGCCCAGAGAGACATGCTGCTGGAGTATAGTCTAACCAGCTGACCCCATCCTCAGCGAATTTCCACTCTGTGTTGGAGGGTGGACAGTCTGGGAGCCCATCGGTGTGGATGGCGAGTGGGGTGACATGCCAGAGGATGGAAGGTGTGGAGGGCAGGGCCTGGGAGCCCTCTCTTTCTCTTCCATCTGCCCTGGTACAGGGAGACCTCCAGGCCCTTGCCACTGTGGTGGATGTAGCTGTGCCAGGTCATGCCCTCATCTTCCTCAGGGCACAGCACTTCAGGAAGGTCCTTCACAGGGACTGCTGCCAGGTTCCAGGTTAGCAAATGACACGGCCCCATACCCCATGTCCTCCCTTCAGCAGAATAGATGTGGCCTGGCCATGGGGCCTCACACATACTTCAGAGGCTGTGTCTGCCTCGGCCAGTGAGCTCATTCGTTAAGTTTCTTATGAGATTTTTCTTGTATAGGTTGCTGAGCTGGACAGCCCCGTGGGGCTTTTGGGCACCTCTTACTAGGACCAAGGGCCCATTAAGCTGTCTGCATCCTGGAACTCCCCGGAGACTGGGCCCCTTCCACCTCTCACAGGAGAGACCTTGGCAGGAGTTCAGCCTGCATCCCTAAGTGGAGCAAGAGCTGCTCAGGCCCTTCCCTTGTCTGGCAGCTGGCCTTCTTCCCTGTGCTTCATTCTGTTGGCAAGCTCTGCTGCCTGGATGAGCCTCAGAAGGGCCACCTTGAGTAGGGATGCAGCTGGTGCTCAAGAACCTCATTGCTTCCTGTTCCTGGCTGACCTTCCCGGACAGCTGTGGTCTTGTACGTACATGTGTGCTCCAGGGAATAGCTGATCTCATGCAGCCGACATAAGAGCTGTGTTTCAAGGGATGATGGGGTGAGGCTGCCTCAAGTGTGCAGGCAGCTGCCTGGGATTTGGGTGGTACAGGTGTGTTCAATGCTCACCTTCTGACCCATGTCACCTCAGCAGCTTCTGAAAGGCCATCCAGCCTGCTCGGGCTGCCCCAGCTGCTGCCTGGCACGGCTGGCTTTCCCACTGCTCTAACCTTGATGCTTTTCCTTCATGCTGTCCTAGGAGGCCAAAGCAGAAGTAAGTACACCTGTCTGGTGCACCGCCTCTCTTCTCCTGCGCCAGGGAGCCCCCCAGCCGTCCCCTTAGTGCCCGTGAGGATTTGGGCTTGCTGGAGGGCGGGGGGCAGCAGTGTGGCACTAAGCAGGGTCCTGGCCTGGAACAGGCAGGTGGCATGCAGCCCCCTGCAGAGTATTGGCAGCCACATGTGAAGATGTGGCCTTAAGAAGTGTTCCTTGTTGGCATGTACCTTGGAGGTGGCTTCCCCTCGTTGAACTGCAGCTCCTGCCCCAGGAAGAGCCCCTAGGTCCTGGTTTTGGGTCATTTAGGCCAGTAAGGTTTGGCAGGGTATGAGTTCTGGGGCCAGCTTAGTGGGTGTTGTTGAAGGGACAGGGATCAGCTCCATGGGCGCTGAGCAGCTGGTGAGTCCTGGGGGTTTGATGCTGGGGAGGTTAGAGAACAGACAAGTCCCTGCTGTGTTGACAACACTCAAGGCCAACTCTACTGCCTCTTGGCAACAGTGGGTGATGTCACAGTGCCCTGCCTCCTGGGCTCTAGGCCGCACACTCACCCCTGCCTCTGCCCTAGCAGCCTGGCCTTGGTGAGTGAGGGGTGGCCCGGGGATTCCCTGTCTGAATCTCTATGGCTCCTGGTCTCCTTTCTGTAATGGAGGGAGCCTAGTGGGTGTCAGGATAGGACGGGCAGGGCTTCCTGAAGTCCACTACATGGGTGGAATTTAGACAACTAAGCACCCCCAGGACAAGGGAGGTCAGACTGTGATTTTGTTGTGGATACTAGGAAAGGGTCCTGGACAGTGGTTTAGGTTTGCTGTCTAGCCACAGGCTGCTGCCCTCCTGGGTGAGGACCATTAGGTAGCATGATTACACAGAGGTCCTGGAACCTGTCAAGTCTGTTTTCCCCTAGGCTGCTCCCTGCAAACCCACAGAAGCAGTGGGGCAGTGGTGCCCCTATCTGTAGTCAGCTCCTGTGGGTTGTTAGTTGGATCTGGCTTAGAAAGAATCCAGACAGAGATGGCTATGGGGCAGGGCAGCTGAGCACATGGCCGATGCTTACCTACATCCTCTGAGCAACTTGCCTCCTGGCTTTGGGGGCTGGCTGGCAGAGTCTCTGGGGGCAGACTGTGGGCTTCTGTGCTCCTGGAAGGATGCTGGGGCAGCAGGGGCATGACATCATGTGGCTGCTGGTGAATGTATCAGACCCAGGGCCCTGTCTCGCACAGCTTGAGGGAACACCCAGGCCAGTAAGAAGGCTGAAGCCCCCAGGGATGACTCTTGCCTGCACTGGCCACAGTACCAACTGAGGACATAGTGACAGCTGGCTGAGCAGCCTGGGCTCTGGTTCCTTCCCTTTAGGACCAGTTGTTGGCACCCTCCCTGGTGTGTCCTGTTGATGTTATCATTTGGGGATGGACACTTGGCCTCTGCTCCCAGCCACCCACCCCTCCTGTGAGGTCAGTCAGGTCCCTTTGCTAAGATCCCTGTCCCTGTACTGGACAGGTGGCTGCCCTGGGTGGGGCAGTGGTGAGGCTGTGGCAGTGCAGGTGGCATGGTGATGGGCAGCTGCAGCAGCCTTTCTGTGAAGTGCATTACCAGCTATTCCAGGGTGGGCAGCCAGGTTTAGCACACGTCCAGGAAGTCAAGTTGGAGTTCAGTTCAGATAAACGGGGAGTAGTTAATTAGTGTAAGTTAATCTCAAATATTTAATGGAATGTACTTGTACTAGAAAACTATGGGGGTTCACATGAAAGTCAAGTCTGAGCACAGCTGTTTCCGTTTCATCTGCAACCTACCTGGAGGCTCCATGAGAAGAGGGTTCTGTGGCAGGTTTGGAAGTAGTGTTCTCTAGATTCCTTTCAGAGGGCCGTGGGGCCTGTGGAGTTAGCAGAGGCAACTTTGGCAGTGAAAACATGTACACACTACCTAGGTGTGTATGTATGTCTCCTGGTTTTTATTTACAAAAGCTCCCCACGAGGGTCTGACTTCTGAGCCTCGGCATGTCCTCTCATGGAGCCCCTTGGGAGGCGCCCCACCCAGTCCTTGCCCCAGGTCTCCTGCCCACCTCTGCCTGTCAGGCTGAGGAGGGCCTGGGAGGCAGGTGCCTCTGCTGTGTTGCAACTGCCTTCTTGTGCTTGCTTTTTAATGCTGCGCCCGAAGATGAGGAGCGGGAAGGCCTCTTGTGCCCTGGAGACCGTCTGGGAGGACAAGCACAAGTATGAGGAGGCCGAGCGGCGCTTCCATGAGCGGGAGGCCACGCAAGCCGCCGCCTCTGCCCAACAGCTCCTGACACAGGTGCCAGCCGTGAACGGGCCCGGTCAGGAGGACACCGAGGAGGCCAGCGAGGCAGGGGCCCCCGATACCAGCAGCAGCAGCAGCGATCCCAGGAAGAGCCGTGACAGCAAGAAGCCCCTGCAGAAGAAGAGGAAGCGCTCCCCTAAGAGCTGGCTCGGCCAGGTGGACCTGGCCCTCGTGGGCCTCTCAGCTGATCACGTGTGGCTGGACAAGCCACTCTTCGACCAGGCAGAAAGTTCCTACCGCCAGAGGCTGGCAGATGTGGCCGCCCAGGCAGCCCAGCTGCCTGCCCTGGCCCCTTGGGGTCCCTGCACACATGGGAACCAGGTGGCCTGTCACCACGTGACCTGGGGAGTCTGGGTCAACAAGTCTTCCTTTGACCAGGCCGAGCGGGCTTTTGTGGAGCAGTCTCAGACCCTGCTGCTGACCGCAGAGGGGAGCTGCAGGCAGGGGGCTCCTGATGCAGGCCAGCTGCTGGCCACTCCCAGCCTGGCCCTGGTTCACCAGCCCAGCCCACCAGCCAACGGCCAGCCTCCTCTGGGCAGCCTACAGGCACTGGTCCGGGAGGTGTGGCTGGAGAAGCCCCAGTATGATGCTGCCGAGAGGGGCTTCTATGAAGCCCTGTTTGATGGCCATCCTCCCGGGAAGGTGCGCCTACAGGAGCGAGCTGGCCAGGCAGAGGGCACCCGGCGGGGCCGCAGAGACCGGCGGGGCCGCAACCCCGTAGGAAGCAAGAGGGCCGGGCCACTGCGGGCTGATGGGGAGGCCCCTTCTGCCTTGCCTTACTGGTACTTCCTGCACAAGGATGCTGAGGCCCCCTGGCTCAGCAAGCCCTCCTACGACAGCGCTGAGTGCCGCCACCATGCTGCCGAGGCCCTGCGCATGGCCTGGCGCCTTGAGGCCGCCTCCTTGGCTCACCGAACTGGGCCCCGCTCTGGCCCATCCATGTCCAGCCTGAGACCCAAGTAGGAGACCTGTGCTCTTGGGCACCCAGCCCGGTCCGGCCTGGGCTGCAGGCACAGGGACTGCCACCCCCAGCCTGGGCCCCTCATGCTTCCCTCCCCACCCTTCCCCTGGGTGGGGGCGCTCCAGTTACCTGAGGACCCGGCCAAGTTGAATGTGGGTTGGGCGGGCAGGGCTGGTGTGTCTGTCCTGGATGGAGATGGCAGTTCTAAACTGTTGGGGTTGGTCGGTGAAGATGTCATCATTGGACAGATACCCTGGGTGAGGTGTGGGGGCCAGGGTGGCAAGCCTGCCCACTGGGTGTGCCTGCCTCTGAGGTAAGGTGGGCATCACATCGAGAGTTGGTGGCTCGTCTAGCAGCCTCTGTCTAAAGGACTCCTTGCGGAGGGAGACCTCCTTCAGCCTGGGAACCAAGTGGCCTTGTTCCAGGATAGGTGGACATAGACCCAGCAGTGGAGGCTGGAGGCCTGGGGTTCGGGTCAGTGCCTGGTCATAGAATGCATCCCCCACAGCTGCTGGACCTGGGCAGATGATGGGTGAGGTGGGTGGACACAGAGGGAACATGAAGGGTCCCAACCAGTTGCCTGGGCCTCCTAGGAAGCAATACCCTTTGGGCCCTGAGTGCTAGGGGAAGGTTTGCAACTTCCTGCCTGCACCTACCTGTCCTGGTGGCCTGGCTGCTTGCCAGGTCGTCCTGGGTGAGGGCAGTAAAGGAGACACAGGGTTGTTTCTCTTGTGAGAGGGCACTTGGTGAGGCCCTGTGATAGTATGGGGTCCCTGGCACAGAGAATTGAGGGCAGCGCCAGACAGGTCTGTCTGTAGTACTTGGCAAGACAGCTGGAGAAAAAGAGTAGATAAACTGAAGGGCCAGAGACCCAGTGAGGCCTGGTATGCAGAGATGGGACTGGACATGGCCTATGGGCCATAGTTTGCTGGACTTGGCCAGAGCAGTTGTTCTCGAGCTTTTTGGTCTTGGGACCCTGAAGAGCTTTTATGTCTATTGATATTTACATCTTGGCTGTTAAAGGATGTAAACTACAAGTACCAAAAGTATATATTTACTGAAGAAAAAAAAGCTTTTGCACATTAGTGCCCAAAACATGTTGTCAAAAATACCTTTCCTGTAGCAAAGTGATTCAGAAAGCAGAGTGGCCTTGTTCTACCTTGTTGCAATCTCCCTTGGTCTATCTGGGTCAGAGTTCTGTGTTCTCATGGCAGCAGCTGCTTCTGCCCTCAACTGCAGAAATTGACTGATTTTTGAAAGGGAGCACCTTAGGGCCTGGGATGTAGCTCAGTGGTAGAGCACTTGCCTGGCACTCATGCCCTGAGTTTAATCCCCAGAATTGTAAAAAAGAAAAAAAAAGGAGAGGAATTTGGGGATCCCTAGAGGATTTTGGACCAACTTTGAGACCCACTGGCCAGAGGACAAGCCTATGGACCCCATCGAGGCCCTGGGGGAAATCCTTACGGGGTGGGAGGAGAGGATGATGTGTTGGTGTGGCCACTTGTGTGCAGAGGGCCCTTGTGGGCTTCGTGTTGTCATGCCAAGGATCACTTGTGTTTTCCCTGGGTTCTGAAGCCTCTGTCACCCAGGACTGGTGGTCTGTGGGCCAGAAGGACTGGGCAGGCCCAGAGTTGACATCTGGGACTGTACGGGGGGAGGGTGTTGCAGCCCACCCAGCACCCTGTTGCTTCTGGGCCACTCCCCAGGCAGGGTGGGTCAGGCTTGGGGGCTTGTGGTGAAGGTGAGGCCCGCACTGACTAGGACCCCCTTTTCCCAGCCATTCTGACCTTACCTCTCCTCCTGCTCCCAGCAGAAAAATGGCTACAAACTTTCTAGTGCATGAGAAGATCTGGTTTGACAAGTTCAAATACGATGATGCAGAAAGGAAGTTCTATGAGCAGATGAATGGGCCTGTGGCTGGTGCCTCCCGCCAGGTGAGGGAATGCTTGGGGCCACCAGGTGGCTCTGCTGCTCAGTAGGAGTGGCCGCAGCCTGCAAAGAGGTTGCTGGCAAGGTCGGGTGGGGAGTGGCACGTCTGGGCCAAGTAGCTCTTCTCAGGGTGCTGGGAGTGGCGTCTGCTCTTGGCTCCTGTCCCAACACAGGATAGCATGCTTCTGATGCTCCCAGGCAGTGGGGGGCCAGGCTGCAGACCCGCACTTGAGACCCTGTGGTCCTGTCCTTGAATCCTGCTTTTCACTGCCCCTGGAACTTTCATTCTGTGCAGTTCTTTCTTGCTTTCTAAGTGAGGATTCTTGGGAATGTGTGTGTGTGTATGTATGTGTGTGTGTTTAAACAACAAAAAAGAGAGAGACTGGTTCTTTCTGCACTGTCTGCAGGAGAATGGTGCCAGCGTGATCCTCCGCGACATTGCAAGAGCCAGAGAGAACATCCAGAAATCCCTGGCCGGAGTGAGTACCCACAGCCCACGTATACGTGGGCTCGTGCTCGGCCAAACCGCACGTCAGTTTTTTTTGTTTTTTTTTTTTTTCCCTCTTGGTACTGCTGACTGTTTTGGCCCTGTGGATCAAAGTTAGGGTACCGTGTGCAGTGCTGTGTTCTTGCAGGACACAACAGTGAGGCCTGCAGGACCCAAACTTCCACAGAGATGATCTTTTGCTTTCCACCTTTACACAACCCCCTCACCTGTTTGCTGGTGGTCACCCTGGCCACTCCCTTGGTGTCAACCCTGGGCTGCTGGCTGAGTGATTCAAGACACACTCTGGGTACACTCTGGAAGCCTGTGTCCTCCTGCTTGCTCCCTGCTGAAGGAGTGTGTGTGTCTGCCGAGCTACAATCTAGTGGCTCTCCCCAGGGAAAGAATGGTGGCTCACAGGGTGTGTTGCATTTAGACCAGAGCTGGTACCCGCTTGGCCTCCAGGCCCCAGGCTGAGGAGGAACGGCAAGCTCTGTCCCACTCTGGCTTGGCAGGCTGGATGGGGAAGGTGTGCCCTCAGATGAAGGACAGATCTGCTGCTCTGGCTTCCCTGCTCCAGGGAAGTCAGGGCCTCATTCTGGGATGTGGGTGATGTCCTGTCCTGAGGGCTGGTTCCGGTTTCCCATTGGCTATTGTAATGGGTTACCACATGATTTGTGCTTAAAACACAAACTTGTGGCTGGGGATATAACTCAGTTGGTAGAGTTGCTTGCCTTGCCTGCACAGGGCCCTGGGCTCAATCTCTAGCACCACCAAAACAAAACAAAAACCCACAAACTTACCCTCTATCATGGTCCAGAGGTCCATACATCCAAAATTGATGTCGGAGCTAAAGCCCTGGTGCCCACAGAGTTGTGATCCTTCTGAGGCTCTAAGAGCATCCATCCTTGCTTTTGCCAGGTTTCAAAACTCTCTACACTCTTGGCTTATGGCTCTGGCCTGCACTTTTACCCTCCGTCTCTGCTGCTTTTTTTTTTTTTTTTTTGGTGGTGGTGGTGCTGGGGATTGAACTCAGAGCCTTGGGCATGTGAGACAAGCACTCCACCAAGTGAGCTATATCCCTAGTCCCTCTGCTACTGCTTCAGCTCTCTGACACAAGGATTCGTGATTGCACTGGGCCTGTCCAGGTGATCCAGCATATCCTTTCTTTTTTAAATTTTTTTTTTTTTTTTTTTTTTTGCTAGCAATAGACCTTCATTTTATTTATATGTGGTGCTGAGGATCAAACCCAGTGCCTCACAATGTGCCAAGCAAGTGCTCCACCATTGAGCCACAACCCCAGCCCTAGGATATCCTTTTTGTTTTTATTTTTGGTACAAGGGATTGAACCCAGGGACACTTAACCATTGAGCAACACCCCAGGCCTTTTATATTTTAGAGACAAAGTCGACCTGATTTTCTTAGGGCCTCACTAAGTTGCTGAGGTAAGCTTTGAACTCTCAATTCTCCTGCCTCAGCCTCCCAAACCACAGAGATTACAGGCAAGTGCCACTGTGCCTGGCCCTTCTTGTGTTCTGGTTTCTTTTTGCTTCCTTCCTCTGTCTCTTTTCCTCATCTTGCTGTAAGGGTCACAAAGCTAACCTGTGCCTTCCAGACTTGGCTCAGGAGTCTCAGTGGAAGGTCAGCTTCCTTCATCTAGAAGTCCTGTTTTCTGCGCTTTGCCTGATACATGGAGCCAGCCTGTCCTCCAATGCCCCTATCCTCTCTGGTGATGCATACTTCTTTTTTTTTAAAGAGAGAGTGAGAGAGAATTTTTAATATTTTATTTTTTTAGTTCTCGGCGGACACAACATCTTTGTTGGTATGTGGTGCTGAGGATCGAACCCGGGCCGCACGCATGCCAGGCGAGCGCGCTACCGCTTGAGCCACATCCCCAGCCCGTGATGCATACTTCTGTCACCTAAGTTCACTGCAGCATCTGCCATTAGTGTTCTGTCTCCAAGGTGATGCTGCTTCTCATCCTCTTCCCAGGCTTTTGCCTCCACAACCTGCTCAAGGGAGCCAGGATTTTTCTGTCATGCTTCACAGAGGCCTTCCAGCCTTACCGTTGCCAATTCTACAGCCACTTCCACATTTCTAGGGACTTTTAGCAGTACCCCCCCACCCCCTTGTAGGAGCCAAGGCCTGTTTGTGTTTTCTAGTTGCTGGCACTGTAACAAATTGCCACAATCTAGTGGTTTAAAATGGTATGCATTTATCATCCTGTGGTTCCGGGATCAGAAGTCTGAAATGTGTCTTAGGAGGCAGGTGTCTTAGCTGTCTGCAGGTTCCTTCTGAAGTCTAGAGAAATTCTGTTCTGTCTGCCTTAGCACAGGCTCTCTTCAGCTGTCCATCACTCTGGCCTCCTCTCTGGCTCCTCTTTCTTGCATAAAGCCTTGTGGTGACCTTCGGCCTACCCTCATCTCCAGGTCCTAATGCCCTCTGCAGAGTCCACTTTGCCATGTGAGCCAGTGTTACAGGCTCTGGCATTTGTATAGCATTCGTATGGTAAGTCTGGGGGCCAGTCTGTCTGGCACAGCTGGCACATGGGCTCCTGGGAGCAGTGCCACCACTGTATGATGGTTCCTGCTTCATGCAGGCTTCTCTCCCAACACACACACTTTTTTTTTCCCTCTCTTTTTCCCCCTATGCTGAGGGTGGAACCCAGGACCTCAGGCTTGCTAGCAAGCACTCTTATCATTGAGCTACATCCCATCCCTTTTTTTGAGATGAGTTTTGCTTAGTTGCCAAAGCTTGCCTTGAACTTTTGACGTTCCTGCCTCAGCCTCCCAAGCAGCTGGGATTACAGGCCTGGCCACCATGCCCATCCTTGGTTCCCTGTTGTCCTTGCCTTTTACCTGATCTCATCTCAGCAGTCCTAAATCCCAACCCTTCACCCTAGTTCAGTCCAGGAAGACCCTCACAGGCTACTGCACTGGAATCAGGCATACTGAGCTCCAGCATCCAGAGGGTCAGACCCGGCTCGGTGGCTCTGGGGCTGCAGGAAGTCTTCCCGCCTGCCTGATTGGCCATCCCTGGAGCCAGCCCAGGCTGTGTGGAGACAGAGTGAGACCATTCCCAGATCCTGTGCTAACTTGTGCCTCTTCCAGAGGGACCTTTTCCTTTTCCTCAGGCCTGTTGTATATGGTGGGTGAGGCCCCAGGCTCCCAGGCCCTGCCACTCACAGACTAGAGTGGGTACCAGTCCCCAGGGCATAGCCCCATTCCCTGCCCTGGAAACAGCCTTGGCACTCTAGCTAGCTTCCACTCTCAGGTGGGTCTCCTGGGCCTCACTTTGATTGCCATCCCTGCCCAAATCCTGCTCTGTGTCACTCAGCTCCCAAGGGGGGACACTCACTGTCTTCCCAAGAGCTATGATAGGACCCAGGGGCCCACATGCTGTGCAATGGGCAGAGGCCTGATTGCTGCCTCCTGCTGAAAGGATTAGGTTGCTGTGGAGCAGATCCTGAGAAAGGCCCTCCCATCCTTCTGGAGGATCCCATCCCATTTGCAAGAACATTAGGCTAGGACTTGTGCACCCCCTGACCTGTTATGTAGTCCCCTGCCCCCTTGGCCTAAGGACCGTAACATTTGGAGGTAGTCTAGAAGCTAAGGTAGGCCCTATGAGGGGAGCCTGCCCTATGGTAAGTGGAACCTTCACAGGTCAGATCTGCTGACATGGTGCATACCTGTAGTCCCAGCAACTTGGGAGGCTGAGGCAGAAGGATTGAGGCCAGGCAGAGCTACTTGATGAGGCCTCAAAAATAAAATGAAAGTGGCTGGGAATGTAGCTCAGTGGCAGAGTGTCCCGAGTTCAATCCCCAGTTGGGGGTGAGGGTTGGGAGGCAAGGGGCTGGACTAGTGGTCTCCTGCACGCTTGCTCTGCGGCAGTATGCAGAGAAGAAGGCCAAGAAGCCCTTGCTGGTGGCCAAGTCTTCCCTCAACTGCTCTCCCCTCCCATTTCTAGCTGAAGGCGGTGCTGCCCGGCCCCCCTGAAGCCCTGAGCCAGGCTGCCCCTGGGACTGTAAGTCCTGCTACCTCCTGTCCAGCTACTGAGCAGTGACAACCCTGAGCTGCTGCTGTGTTTCGGCTGCCACAGGCCCCCTGCTTCTTGTCCTGTGCTCGTGCTTGACTGAGAATGTTACTGTGGCTGTGCAGCCACCCTCCCTGAGGTTAACAAGTCTTCACACCCTCGAGGGTGGGCCTCAGCAGGGAGGACTATCCTGAGCCTCTTGCCCAGGATGGCACTCTGCTTCTGAGTGGCTGGCTGAGGGGCCCTAGGCACAGCTGGGCACTAAGCTCCCCTTCCCTTGCCTTGCAGAGCTCAGGCCCTGGAGCCTCTGGCGGGCCTGGTGGAGACCACAGCGAGCTGGCTGTACGCATTGCCAGCCTGGAAGTAGAGAACCAGAACCTGCGAAGCGGTGAGGCCTGGGCCTGATGGTTGGGTCCCTCCCCACCCCAGACCTGCCATCCGACCCTGTCCCCTTGTACCCACAGTGGTGCAGGACCTGCAGCAGGCCATCGCTAGGCTGGAGGCCCGGCTGAGCATGCTGGAGAAGAGCTCGCCCGCCCACCGAGCCACAGCCCCTCAAACCCAGGTGAGCACCCTCCTGGCTCACACCTCTTGCTGTGGTCAGCAGTGAGGTAGTAAGGTCCAGAAAGGTTCATGGTGCCCAGGCTGACCCCCAAGTCAGGGTGAGGGAGCTTATCCTCACCTGGGGCGGCTGTTCTTGTGGACCCTGAGCCCAAGCCCTTGGGATGCCTAGGGTCAGCAGAGAGGAGAGGCCTGGCTGGGTCTCAGCCTCTCCTCACCTGTGGCAGCACGTGTCTCCCATGCGCCAAGTGGAACCCCCAGCCAAGAAGGCTGCCACACCTGCAGAGGACGACGAGGACAATGACATTGACCTGTTTGGCAGCGGTGACGAGGAGGAGGACAAGGAGGCAGCTCGGCTGCGGGAGGAAAGACTGCGGCAGTATGCAGAGAAGAAGGCCAAGAAGCCCTTACTGGTGGCCAAGTCTTCCATCCTCCTGGATGTCAAACCTGTGAGTGGGGGTAGGGAGGGACTCGGGAGGGCAGGAGTCCCCTCAGGATATTGTGCCTGCCCACAGCCTCAGCCTCTGACTCTTCCGGGTGGGAAGTCAAGATTAGAAATCTTGGGATAAGAACAGAAACAAGGGGCCGGTGGGTGTAAGTGGGACTGTTTCCAAGAGCCCTTCAAAAGAAGCAGAATTATGTCTTTATGGTGGTTCAAGGCCAAGGAGGGGTGGGCTCTCCCCTGGTGCTCTGGGGGTTTCTGGGTGGCTCACTCTGCTTCCTCCACTCTCTCACAGTGGGATGATGAGACAGACATGGCCCAGCTGGAGGCCTGTGTGCGCTCCATCCAGCTGGATGGGCTGGTCTGGGGTGGCTCTCAGCTGGTGCCTGTGGGCTATGGCATCCGCAAGCTGCGGATCCAGTGTGTGGTGGAGGATGACAAGGTGGGCACCGACCTGCTGGAGGAGCAGATCACCAAGTTTGAGGAGCACGTGAGTAAGGGGCAAGGGCTGGTGAGCAATTGGGCGGAACCTGGGACCCCACTGCTGCACTTGCTGCCCCATCAGTGATGAATGGGTCCCTGAATGGAGCCCCACTGCGCTCCTACTGCACAGGCACTGGAGCCAGTGGACCTTGGGGAAACCTCTGATGGTACCCATTTCTTCCACAGGTGCAGAGTGTCGACATTGCAGCTTTCAACAAGATCTGAGCCAAGCACACATTGTGTGAGGACCTACAGAGATTAAAGACTGAGACTCAGCACTCTTGACTCCTGTCCTGTCATTTGGTTGGCGCCAGGCCTACACTTGTCCCTGATGGTCTCTGCCCCTCCTACACAGCACTGGGAGCTCCACAGCTTTGGTGGTCATGTGACCTCACCCCTAGCTCACCTGCCCTCTGCTCTGTTCTCCACCAGTTTTTGCTTATGATGCAAGTGACAAGTCTGAAGCAGTTTAAGCCAGACATAGCCTGTTGGCTCATTCACTGAAGAGCAACCCCCGTCTCCCTTTCCTTTTTCTGCTCTGCCTCCTGTCCCTGATCCCAGCAGGTGTCCTGGCCCTGCTGCAGTACAAGGTGGAACCCACCCCCTTGTCTCCTGACACTGGCTGCTTCCCACCATCTGGAGCATGCTGCACCTCTTTAACTCTCTGGGTCCCTCTCCCCCTCCCCCCGCTGCTGGAGACCTGGCTCTGGCCCAGTCCCATTATGAACTGGGATGTCCAAAATGTGATCAGTCATGTTCTGGAGTTGTGCCCCATTGGGCTGTAGGCCAGCACTACTGGTCACAATGGGTTTGGGGTTAAAAGGGTGTTGGGGATATGGTTACTTAATGTTGGAGCTGCCATCCCGGGGTTCTTGCCCACCAGGCAACGTGATGCCTTTTCAAAAAGTGAGAATTTCCTGTGGGGTCCTGGAGTGAAGAAACTCAAACCAACACGCAGTCCCCTCTCCCTTTCCTAGGCACCCCTCACTTGTGAAGGGCAGGCTTGGGGGCCTGTCCTGGCTAGCAGTGTCCCAGCCCAGCTGCTGCAGGCTCCCCAGCTACCCACCTCCTTTTAGTCCCAGCCTGTCCTGGATCTCTGCACTTTGGGCACAAGCCAGGGTGACACCCACTTCCTGGCAAGTTCTTGGAAAGTCGCTACCCGACAGGGGGGAGATGACTGCTGGAAGGCCCGCCCCTTAGTCCAGAGCCCGGCTCTGGATTGGGTTCTGAGAGGGGCGAGCAACAGACGAGTCCCCGCCCCGTCCAGGTTCCACAAGCTTTGTGGCCGCCTGCTGGTTTTTGCGGGGGAGGGGGGGGGGAGGCGCAGTCTCCCAGTGTCATGGGACTGGGGCTAGGCGGGGCGCGTCACTAGCTCAGCGGAGCAGGATGGCGGCGGAGTGGGACGCCGAGGGGCGCGCGGCGGCTCGGCCTCTGCTCACCGACTATTACCAGGCCACCATGGCGCTGGGCTACTGGCGGGCAGGCCGGGCGCTCGACCCCGCCGAGTTCGAGCTTTTCTTCCGCCGCTGCCCATTCGGCGGTTCCTTCGTCCTGGCCGCGGGCTTGCGCGACTGCATGCGCTTTCTGCGCACCTTCCGTCTTCTGGACGCAGGTAGCCACGCGCCCAGCGACGCCCACGCGACCCTACAGGACAGTCCCATTCCCACCAGAAGCCCCACGCCCCTCCACAACCCCGGGAGACCCCTTACTGCACAAGTGCCTGTGTCCTCTCCAGACGTGCAGTTCCTGGCCTCGATGCTGCCCCCAGACACGGACCCTGCGTTCTTCAAGCACCTTCGGGCCCTGGACTGCTCCGGGGTGACCGTGCGAGCCCTTCCTGAGGGCTCCCTTGCTTTCCCAGGCGTGAGTGCGGGTGAAGGGGTGGAGGGGGTGACCCGAGGTGCGTCGGCCACATGGAGTTGACTACCCTCCCCGCAGGTTCCGCTGCTTCAGGTCTCAGGGCCGCTCCTGCTGGTGCAGCTGCTGGAGACGCCGCTCCTCTGCCTGGTCAGCTATGCCAGGTGGGACCTGAGTCTTCGTGGGAAGCCCCAATAGGCCTAGTCCCTGGGATAGAGCGCTGGACTGGGATCCTTAGAGGGCTGGCCTCCAGGAGGGACTGTGGGAGGGCTGAGGTGGAGCTCTGGATTGGAACTCCAGGCCCCGAGTAACAGCCTCACTTGGTTCCCTGGCCTGTCACTTGCCACAGTCTGGTCGCCACCAACGCAGCCCGGCTTCGCCTGATTGCAGGGCCAGATAAGCGACTGCTGGAGCTTGGCCTGCGGCGTGCTCAGGGCCCAGATGGGGGTCTCACGGCCTCCACCTACAGCTACCTGGGCGGTGAGAATGGGGGAGGCCAGGGCTGGGAAGGAGCAAGCCCCACCACAGCCCAGAGCCCACAAGCCTGCCTGACTTCTCTGCCCAGGGTTTGACAGCAGCAGCAACGTACTTGCTGGGCAGCTGCGGGGTGTGCCGATGGCTGGAACCCTGGCCCACTCCTTCATCACTTCATTTTCAGGCAATGAGGTGCCCCCTGACCCGGTCAGTACCTCTTCTTAACCCTGCTGTACTTCAGAGGGCAAACCTCAAGACCAACCCTTGTCCCTGTAGGGGTGGGATGCCACCTCAGGAAGTCGGCACGCTGGTGGCATTGCCTTTGCCCTCAGGGCAGGGTATATCAGCCACTCCCAAGCTCACACTGCCCACAGGGTCTATCCTTCACTGACCTGTCTCTGCAGATGTTGGCTCCAGCTGCTGGCAAAGGCCCCAGGGTGGACCTGGTTGCCAGGGTAAAGCTGTGGCTGGAGCGAGTGTGTGCACACCTGGGGCTGGGGTTGCAAGAGCCCCACCTGGGGGAGCAGGCAGCTTTTGTGGCCTATGCTCTGGCCTTTCCCCGGGCCTTCCAGGGCCTCTTAGACACCTACAGTGTGCGGAGGTGAGCTGCAGGCTTTCCCCAGGGTTGGCCTGGCAGAGCAGCTGCAGCCCCTAACCCTTTGTTTATGCCTGCAGGAGTGGTCTCCCTAACTTCCTGGCAGTAGCCCTGGCACTGGGGGAGCTGGGCTACAGGGCAGTGGGTGTAAGGCTGGACAGTGGTGACCTACTTCAGCAGGCTCAGGAGATCCGCAGAGTCTTCCGGACCACTGCTGCCCAGTGAGTCCCCCGCCAGGGGGCATGCCTTGTAGGAGGCCCTGTGGGGAGCTGGGAGATGGGGTGTAGAGGCAGGGAGGAACAGTGGTTTTTTTCCCCCACAGCGAAGGCTTTGGGTCTTGTTTTAGGGGCAACAGAGCAGGCCCTGGAAGGGAGGCATGAGGTGGGTCTACCAGGGTCTCTGAAGCTAAGGACCAATGTGAATGTGACTGACTGGGGGGCGGGGGAGGCCCAGGTAAATCAGGAAGGTCTAAGGGGCTGTCCCTAAATCCCAACACACACAGGTTCCAGGTGCCCTGGCTGGAGGCTGTCCCCATCGCTGTCAGCAACAATATTGATGAGAAAGAGCTGGCCCGACTGGCCCAGGAGGTGGGGTGGAAGTGGGTAGATGGAGGGTGGTCTGAAGGGTCCTGTAACCTATAGGTCCTGGCTGGGCTCATTTCTACCTCTTCCCCCCAGGGCAGTGAGGTAAACGTCATTGGCATTGGCACCAGTGTGGTCACCTGTCCCCAACAGCCTTCCCTTGGCTGCGTCTACAAGGTGGGGACAGTGTCTGGGCAACGTTGGGTGGGTCCAGGAGATTGTGGCAGGTAGAGGACAGGGGTCCAGCTATCCCAACACTGTCTCCCTGCAGCTGGTGTCTGTGGGAGGTCAACCTCGAATGAAGCTGACCGAGGACCCTGAGAAACAGACATTGCCAGGGAGCAAGGCTGCTTTCCGGCTCCTTGGCTCTGATGGTGAGCCCCTTCCTGTCCCTGGGGCTCTTCTTCAAGGCCCCAGATCCCCACCACACGTTTGTTATTCTTGCCCCCCACCCACACAGGCTCTCTGTTGATGGACCTGCTTCAGTTGGCAGAAGAGCCACCGCCCCAGGCTGGGCAGGAGCTGAGGGTTTGGCCTCGCGGGGCTCAAGAGCCTTGCACCGTGAGGCCCGCCCAGGTGGAGCCCCTGTTGCGACTCTGGCTGCGCCTGGGAGAGGTGACTGCTCCTCACACTTTGAGTCCAGCTGAGACCCGACCCTCAGCCACGCTCAAGCCCTGCTTCTACCCCTCTCCTGCAGCTGTGTGAGCCACTCCCGTCCCTGTCAGAGTCCAGAGCCTTTGCCCAGCAGTCCCTTAGCCGCCTCAGCCCTGCGCACAGACGGCTGCAGAGCCCTGCACTGTACCAGGTGGGCAGAAGGCCTGTGGGTGGGCAGCCCTGTGTACGGACACCCCACCCTCCACCATCCACCTGCCAGCCCCTCCTGTCTCCCGCAGGTTGCTCTCTCTGAAAAGCTTCGGGCCTTGGTGGACAGTCTGAGTGCTGGAGGCCTCCTGTGAGAATCCCGGGGTCGGGGGGAGTGCTGCCCGGAAACAACATAAATCTTTCATTGTCCCTACAACTTGTCACGTGTCATTTATTCATTCAGTCTGCTTCTCTGGTCTGGGGGCCGGGCTGGAGTCAGGAATGTGGAGGTCACCTGGAGCACCCCAGGCTCAGGGGCTAGACCAGAGCTGAGGCTGGAGCCTCAGGCCAAGAGAGGGAGGGCTTTGGTGTCTACCTCAAAGTTGGAGGAGTTACTGTGGAAGACCTTTCCTGCCGGAGGGCAGATGAGGGAGAGGGGCATCAGACAGTCCAAGCATGGCTCTGTCTCCCACACTTGCTGAGATCACTGTCCCTGGGCTCAGAAGCAGTAGGGATATCTCAAGCCTCCCAAGCTGAGGAGAGCCCAGGTGTCCCCTGCTATTGCATGATCCTAGCAAGTGTCACAGACCAGCCAGGGTCTGGCCTTGGGACCTCAACTCCTGACAGCAGCTGGGAAAGGGGAAGGAGGAGGGGCAAAGCTGAAGCTCCGTGGGGGCTAGTCTTGCCTCTGCTCAGCAGGTTGGTGACCTCAAAACTGTTTGGGAGGGGTGCTCCAGGCTTGACAGCAGGGCACGGGGCCTGGGCCTCTCCCATCCGGCTGCTTGAGGTACACAGGCCAGTGAGGGAATGGGGAGAATGCTGAACCATCTGGGGTTCTTCCGGGAGCACTGCCACCTGCCCAGGCACTCTGCCAGACCAGCTTATCCGGCTCCCCTGGCTCTGGGTTGGGCAGCACCCACTGTGTGATTGGGTGAAGGTGGAGGGTAGGGATTTAGGGCAAAGGCCTTATCAGGCCAGTTCTGAGAAGCATGAGCCTGCAGAGAAATATGACTCATACCCTGGGCAGCACAAACGACACCCAGGCACCCAAGGCACTAGTGATCTCAGCCCTGTACTCCTAGGAGCCAGCCCAGGGGTCACTAGGTCAGAACTAGCCAGGACCCAGAAGGGCCCATCCCAACGGTGGTGGGCGAGAGGCTGCAACTTCTCCTATCTCCTCTGCTCCGTAGCAGGGAGCAAACTCTCCCCAAGCTCAGATGGTGACAGCACCCATCAGTGCCTATCCCCAGATGCTTGACTAGGTTGGAATGCAACAGACCAGCCCAGGCCCGACCCTGCTGGGACCTCACCAGGGATGTCTTCAGCTACCCTGGCAAGAGGGGTCAGATGTTGGGGTTAAGGATCCTTCTCTATTCTTTCTGGATCCATAGTCTCCTAGGGCCCCGGTAGGCAGAGCTAGATGACAGACACCCAGGCTTCAGGCTGGCTGCTCTCCTCCAGCAAGGGAGCCCTTCACCAGCCAAGCAGCTCGGCGTTTCCCCAGCCACCCCAGACACATGCTCATGCACGCATACACGCACGCGCCACCACACACCACACCTGTCCGTGGGCCCGCCCGGGGCCTGCTTCTAGGTCAAGCTTGGACAGGATTTCCTGGGAGGAGCAGTTAGCAAGTGCTGCTAGTCGCGTACTGTGGCTGGGGGCATGTGGGGACTTGACTGGGGGCACCCCATGGGGACCCTAACCCTGACAGCTCTAGCTGAAGGAATACGGTCAAGCCAGAGGCAGCCTCTGGGACCCCCTTCCACAGGCCCTCAGCCTGAGTCCCAGGAGCTTGGATCTCAGGCTGAGCTGCAGGACCAGGCACCCATTAATTATGAAGCTGAGCCTGGAAGTGGGACCACTGACCCCATAGCTGGCTGTGAGCCCTGCTCCCCACACAATGCCCAGGAGCCAGCCCCAGAGGGGCCCCAGCAGGTGAGTGCTGAGGGATCGGGCACTGTGGGGACCACTGGGGAGCACAGCTCCTCTTCCAGGTCACCCAGACACTAGATGGAAAGCGGTGCTGTAACTGGGGAAGGTGTCTAGGATAAAATGGGCTGAGGAGCAATACAGGGGCTCAGGGTTTTACAGCCAAGCTTGGAGGCTGGGGAGGAGAGCTGGGAGAGGATTGGAGACTTCATACACCCCCCACCCTGCCCTAGGCCTTCCAGAGTTCCTGGGAGGAGGGTGCTCTCTCTGACCTTGCGCTCTACACGGCTGCCTGCTTGGAAGAGGCTGGCTTGGCAGGGACGCAGGCCACAGCACTCACCCTGTCCTCAGCCTTGGAGGCCCATGGGGCACGACTGGGAGACCAGGTCAGCCCCCACTCCCTCCCTATTCACACTGGGGTGTTGGAGCCTGCAGCCTGGCACCCATGCCCCCTTTGGGCTGTTTCTGCCAGTTGGGGGTGGGGTGTTGGCAAGAGGGTCACAGTGAAGAGTGGAATTCTGGCCGCTGACACCTGCCCCCTCCACCCAGGTGCATGCCCTGGTGCGTGGGCTGCTGGCACAAGTGCCCAGCTTGGCCGAAGGGAGGCCGCGGCGGGCGGCCCTGCGGGTACTGAGCACACTGGCCCTGGAGCATGCACAGGATGTGGTGTGGGCGCTGCTGCCACGGTCGCTGCCTCCAGATCGGTAACCTGACCCGTCTGCTCCCCTGCGGCCCCACGCGGCTTCCTTCCCGCTTCCTGCTTGGCCATCTGGCTCTGCAATAGGCAGGCTGTGAGGGAACAGAGCCTTGGAATTCCCTCCCCTCGACTGCTGCTTTCCATCCATTCCACCTTACCATTCTGTCTTGGGATCCCAGATGATGGAATTCCTTCATGGGGTCACCTTGTCTCTCCTGAGGATCGAGGGTTGTTCCACGAAGTACCTGGTGTTGTGCTCTGGGGTGGGTGAGCAAGCAGAGTGGCTTCCGCTCAGGGATGCCTCTAGTTATTGGTTTAATTTGCTTCAGGAGAAATCATCTTTGGTTTTATTCTCTCTGAGCTATTGTGTAAACAGAAAGAACCAGGTGTGTTTCACTGTCATGCCTGACAGGGCTCCAAAGTGCATCCCAACCCCAAAGTCGCTGTGGCTTATTTTGTTTCTTTGGGAGGGCAAGGGATGGTTTACTCTCCCCTCCCTGGCCCCAGCCTGAGGACCTCCTGCAGCCACTCAGCACTGGCCCTGCACCCAATTTTTGTCTCACATCCTGTCACCCTGTGCCCCCAGGGCAGCGGCAGAACTGTGGCGCAGCCTCAGCCGGAACCAGCGCGTGAACGGACAGGTGCTGGTGCAACTGCTGTGGGCGCTGAAGGGAGCAGCAGGGCCTGAGCCCGAGGCGCTGGCGGTGAGTAGCTCCACTGGCACCAGCAGGAGGCCATTCTGGCTGCCCTGGCTGTGAGTCAACCCACAGGTTCCCACTTGCGTCACGGATATCTTGCAGAATATCACATGGGTGTCCTAGGCTTTGTCCTGTCTGCGGAGCACTCTCCTCCCTGGTACCTGATACGGTCCTGGGCACTGCTCAAGCCTGTGGGGACCACTTGCTCCACAGGCCACGCGGGCTCTTGGGGAGATGTTGGCGGTGTCCGGCTGTGTGGGAGCCACGCGAGGATTTTACCCACACCTGCTGCTTGCGCTGGTCACACAGCTACATGAACTGGCTCACGGGGCACGCTCTCCTGACAGCCCTAAGGTTTGGGCCCCGTCCCACCGAGGGCCACCACACAGCCATGCCAGGTGAGGAGAGACACTGAGGTAAGTGGGATGCTCGCACCTCCTTGGCCCTCACTGTCCACTGAACTGCTGCCCCTACCTCCAGCTGTGCGGTGGAGGCCTTGAAGGCCCTGCTCACCGGGGATGGTGGTCGCATGGTGGTCACCTGCATGGAGCAAGCGGGAGGCTGGAGGAGACTGGTGGGAGCCCACACCCACCTAGAGGGTGTCCTGCTGCTGGCCAGGTGAGGAGGGGCCTCAGGATTGCACCCCAGGAGGAGGCTTCCTGTTGGCCAGGTTCAAGGCAGGGGTATAAGGAGGGTGGGTGAGGCCCCAAGTGGAGGGAGACCTCCCATTTACCCCACCCTCAGTGCCATGGTGGCACACGCCGACCACCACCTTCGAGGCCTCTTCGCAGATCTGCTTCCCCGGCTACGCAGTGCCAACGCGCCGCAGCGCCTCACCGCTATGGCCTTTTTCACAGGGGTGAGTCCTCTTCCGGAAGGGCAGTGAGGGATGATCTTACTTGAACCCTAAGGAGCACCGGCCTGCAAGGGGACTGAGAGCCGTGCTGACTGTGTGTCCCTTCCCTAGCTGTTGCAAAGCCGGCCCACCGCACGGCTACTGCGGGAGGACGTCATCTTAGAGCGGCTTCGGACCTGGCAGGGCGACTCTGAGCCCACAGTGCGTTGGCTGGGCCTGCTAGGCCTCGGCCACCTGGCCCTGAATCAAGGGAAGGTGAGGACCCGGTCAGGGCAGGGCCAGGGCAGGTCTGCCAGGGGTTGGCCACGAGTCCCTGTCTCTGCAGGTGCGGCATGTGGGCACGCTGCTGCCGGCACTCTTGGGCGCACTGGGCGAGGGCGACGCGCGGCTCGTGGGTGCAGCGCTGGGTGCACTGCGGAGACTACTGATGCAAAGGCGAGCTCCGGTGCGGCTGCTGAGCCGGGAGCTCCGGCTAAGCCTCCCGCCGCTGCTGGACGACGTGAGCAAGGCCCCGCCTCCTCCATCAACCCGCCCTTCAGGTCCCTCCCCCAGGCTCTCGGCACCCTCCCGCCGCCCTGACTCCAGAGGCACCCCAGTCAGCACCCTCAGACCCTCTCCTTCCTTGCTCCACCTGACCACCCCCTCACTCTTGAACCCTTCTCCCTCTCCATCCGCCTGTGTCCTCCCATGCAGGCCCGGGACTCGGTCCGCGCCTCGGCTGTCGGGCTCCTGGGGACGTTGGTGCGACAGGGCCAGAGTGGGCTCCGTGTGGGGCTCCGCGGTCCCCTGCGGAGGCTCATCCTACAGAGTCTGGTGCCGCTGCTGTTGCGCCTTCACGACCCCAGTCGGGACGCTGCTGAGGTCAGCTGCCCCTCGCGTCCCATCCCTATCCCATCCAACTGTGTCTCCCTACTCCCACCCTGTTGCCTCGCCGAAGGTTAGGTCAGGGTCACCCACAGTGACCTCATGGGCTCCCAGGTTCCTAGTCTTCCCCTGGGCTGCTGTACTCAATCCCCTGCCTTGGGCTCTTCCAACGCTCCTGGTCACAACCCTTTCCCCTCTACCTGGTGCCACTTCCTGGGTCCCTAACCCCGCTCCCTTTCCCTATGCCAGAGCTCGGAGTGGACGCTGGCCCGCTGTGACCAGGCTCTTCGCTGGGGCCTGCTGGAGGAGATGGTCACTGTGGCCCACTATGACAGTCCTGAGGCTCTAAGCCGTGTCTGCCGGCGCCTGGTAGGTAGAGGAAGCACGGTGATGGTGAGGGGGTGTGGTCCCCCGCCTCCAAAACAAGTCTCTACCCCATACAAACCTGACCATCATGCTCCTGGTGGGGCAGGTGCACGACCTTGCTCCATATTGCCCAGCCCTTGGGTTCCTCAGGAGACCCCAACCCCAAGATTCACCTCTGCAGTTTTGGCCCTCCTTCCTGCAACAAACCCTTCTGTTCCCAGATTCAGCTCTACCCCAACCACCTGCCCCGCTTCCTGAGCCAGACCCAGGGCTATCTGCGGAGCCCTCAGGACCCACTGCGGCGCGCTGCCACTGTGCTCCTAGGTAAGGTAGTCCTGGGGTATCGCAGACCATCTCACCTGGGGATCTATGAACTGGACCCTTCCCTCCCCTCTGGGACATGCAGCCGGAACTCGCCGTTTGCTTTGGTCCAGGCTTCCTGATTTATCACGCAAGTCCCAGTCGAGTCAGCCAGGAGCTGTTGGATTCCCTGTTCCAGGGTGAGGACTCAGCGTGTCAGAATGTGAGGTCCTGAAGGGGTGGCGGGTGCTAGGACCGAGTGGATGCTGGAGGGCCAGGGCTCTGACGCTGGCATCCCGAGTGACCTTCCCTCCCTCCCTGAACCGTGTGTGTGTGCACAGACCTAGGGCAGCTGCGGAGCGACCCCGAGCCGGCGGTGGCCGCGGCGGCGCACGTGTCTGCCCAGCAGGTGGCGCTGCTGACCCGTTCGCAGGACCGACGGCGCGGTCCTCGCTTCCTGCGCCTCCCTTGGCGTCGCGCCCGCTCAGTTCAGCCCGCGCCTCTCTACGACGACAGCCCGTTCCAGCGTAGGAGCCTCGCAGGCCGCTGGGGCAGCTCGGGAACCCACTGAGCCCAAGCTAGGGCCCTCGGACCAGCGTCTGACGGGGACACTGACTCACACAATCCTCCGTCCCCACGATGGCAGATCTGCAAAGGGTACCCTGGGCCTGGAGCTGGACGCCATCCCCTGGCTCTGGGACTCTTCTCCAGAGATCACCACGTGACAGAGAGGGACAGCTGGTACCATTTCACCCTGAGCTCCTCCCCTCTCGAATCCCCGGGTCCATCTGTCCCCTGCCAGGCCTATTTTCCTAGTCCCCTGGAGTGTGCCCTGTCCTAACTTTGGCTTGGCATCTGGCCTAGAGGACATCTGGCCTCTTAAATGGGGGTCTGGTAGGGACACTATGGAGCCACACACCACAGGCTGTCCTGCTCCTTCCTGGACTCTGCCTTCGCCCGCCACAGCAGACCAGCCCTGCCGGCAGTCATCACCCTCTCCTTACCCTGTCCCTATTCCTGATTGCTGTCCTGGTTTATGTCCTCTCTGCCCTCCTGAGGACACCCACCTCCAGAGGACACCCACCCCTACCCCATCTGACAGTGGGCTTCTCTGGAAGGCTCCCCGATGACCTGTCCTGAGGACAGCACAGGGGGATTACCCTAATGGGCTGAGGGAACCTTCTTCCTCAGCGAGGCTCACACACGCAGATGTCTTTCCCTCAGGGACAGGGATGGGGTCCTGCCCTTTCCCCAGCTCCCTGGCTCCACTCCACCCATAGGACAGCGTTTACAATAAACACGGGGCTCACAGGGGTGGGTCTGACTGCGAGTGCCTGCAGGACAGCTAAGGAGCAGGCAAGGCCCCGCCCAGGGAAGCCCTGGGGCCAGAGCTCTTGGGACCGGCCTCAGGGTCAGGCTGCGTTGTAGGGTCAGGCCAATGTGTGAGTGAGTCTTTGTAGACCCAGGAGCGAGGGTCAGTGAATCAGTTAGGATCCTCCAGAGCAGATGCTGAAAGGGATCACATGCAGAGATATGTCAAAGGAAAGGCCGGAGAGCCTGGGAGGCGCCAGATCTGGTGACGGAAAGGGAGGGAAGGAAAAGCGTCTGTGTGGGAGCTATGGACATCCATGCTGGCCTTCAGGAGCTTTCAAGCCAGTCAGCCATGTGCAGGGTGAGTGTCAGAACAAAAGCCAAATGGATCCCCTCAGGAACAGTGCCCCCCAAAGCAAGCCTGGCCTCCCCACCTTCCTTGCAACCCAGGAGCAGACCCCAGGAGGGGCATGTGACACTCTCCCTCCAAGCACAGGCTTATCTGCACCCCAGAGCACAGCGTGTCCATGGGCAAGCCCTACGTGCTGCACAGCCCACCCTCAGGTGGGGGCTCTGACGGGGAAGCAGCTGTGGTGAGCAGACAGCACCCACCACCCTACCTGTGGTACTTGGACAGCCCACACCCCTTTGCAAGCTGCTTGGAGCCAGGCTGTCTTGCCCAAGCGTCTGCCTGTTGTAGACCTGGGTCCACCTGCCTGCCATGGCCCTGGCCCAGGAGCTGGCAGCCATGCGTACTCCCTGGTGTGGTGTGAGGTTCAAGTGAAGTACCCACAGCCTCTGGAAGTGTGACTCTGCCCTGGGACTTTGTTACAATTCCAGGGAAGCTGCAGGTGGCCAGGTGGCTTGGGCCCTCTGTGAGGACGCCTCAGCTCCAGCCCTCCAGGGGATCCATCCCCTTCACCCACAGAAAAGTCCACTCATGGTTAATCTTCCACCTGGGGGTTGGGCTTAGAGGGCCAGGGGGCAGCTGCACCCTGACACATGTACACCCTCTCCCCTTTTCACATAAGGCCCTGCCATAGGCTAGCCAGGCTTTATTTATTTGTTTGTTTTTGGTACTGGGGGTTGAACTCAGGGGTGCTTCACCACTGAACCACACCCCCAGCTACTTAAGTTGCTGAGGCTGGCTTGGAACTTGTGATCCCCCTGCCTCAGCCTCCAAGTTGCTGGCATTACAGGCCTGTGCCACCACGCCCGGCTAGCCAGCCTTACTCTGGTGTTAAGATGCTCTTACACGGGTCTTGTTGCTATGTACCTCATTAATGGTCCCATATCCAAGAGCCAACTGTTGGACCCTCCCAATGGGGCTTCGGTAGGCTGGCAGGACCGCCTGTCACCTGGTCTTGGGGGTCTTTGGGCCTCAGGAGCAGTGCTGCAATGCCTGCTTATTCAGTGCTTTCCAAGGCCTGGGCTGTTCCCATCCCCTTCACCCAGGTTTTGCTTTCAAGTTCCAGAACAGGGTTTCCAAAGGGGGACCATGGGCCCAAGAGTCATTGAGCTGCTCTGCTGTATGGAGGCTGAGTTTTAGGTTTCTATAACCTGGAGAGGAGATGTTTGAGGTGCACTGATTGGGTTTTCTTGGGGGTGCAATGTCCCAGCATGGCAGAACCTACTCTTTTCTCCTTAGCAAGTCGTGCAAGTGCATGTCAACATGCATGCCAGGACAGAGGGGTGCTGCAGCTCCCTCTCCTCCCACCAGTGTGAGTGAGCCTGTGCTGTGCTGCGGACTGCGGACCTGCCAATAAAGACACTCACCTGGCATCCCAGGTCCCGGGCACCCATAGTACCTGGCCACATCAACCACACGTTTCACTCTAGACATGGGCGCCATGGGCTGCTGATCCCCTGGGAGGAATCCCCTGCCTGTGCTCTGAGACCTGCTGAATTCCCAGGGATCTGAACATGGGGACTAGGAGGCCTCGGATCTGCAGAGATTCCTACCTATGAGCAAAGATGTTTCTTTAGGACAAGTCACCCTTACTTACCTCTCCAGGACCTTCCTTGTGGTCCCAGGAGCCCTGGGTCTCTTGGGCCTTAGCCACAGCTGCATCCCTGTGTCCCAGCCTATGGGCTGAGAAGGGGCCTGCTCTTGTCAGCAAGGTACCCCAAGTTCCCTAAAGCAAGGCAGCCATTCCCTGTGCCTCAGGAACAGACCACCCTGTGGAACTGACTCCCCTAAACTGCTCTGCTTTCCTTTCACAGGCAACCAAGCAGGCTGGGGAGGCTGGGGATGTGGCCATGTCCAAACCCCTCCCCTGGCAGGAGCAAGACCATGGGGGGGTACCTGCATTTGGCCCACATGTGCCTTCTAGTCCTGTTTGGGCATGGTCCCCATCCTACCCATCCTTTTGAGGACTCAGGACCCTCAAAAACAGAACTGTTACCATTCTTTCCATTGTACATCATATTTATTGAGTTTTCCCAACTCCTGGGCCTTTGAGTGAGCTGGCCCTGTAGTTAAGTGGGCTTTCAGCCTTCCTGGGGCTGGCAGGGGTGGTGCCTGGCTGGAGAGCTGCCCAGCGTTAACGGGGCTCCTGATGTAGCCCCGACAGCAGGGTCAGGGAGGCATAGAGCGCACACGTGGGGCCCTGGGCCTGAGGTTCCCAGCACACATGGGGGGCGCCCACCTGCAGCACCAGGCCACATTCCTCCAGCAGGGTCCACCCTGGGGCCTCCTTGTCCCAGCTACTCCCAAGGAGCCCAGGGGGCAAGGAAATAGCCTTCTGCTCCTGCCATGGGGAGCTCTGCTGCAAGAGGTGCTCCACCTGCAGGAGGGTAGGAGGTTATGGGTGGAAGAGCTAGTCCTGAGTCCCTGGGCATGCACTGCCCTTACCGGTGTCCCAGGGCCCATTCCAGCCCCCATGCTGTGCCCTCTCACCAGCTTGAGCTGCTCCAACAGGGTCCCTGTCTCCAGCAAGTCAGCCAGCAGCTCACGCTGCGCTTCACTCAGCACTGGGGAGAGACATGGTCTGAGAGGGGGCTCAGGGAGGCCTAGTGGGAAACCTAGTCCTTCCCTCTGTCCCACATCTACTCCCCAGAGGTCACTCACCCGTCAGCGCCCCCAACAAGTAGAAGACAGGGGCGGCAAGTTCTGGCACAGGCATCCTGGAGGGGAGCACCAGGCACTCGAGGACAGCACCTGCCGGACCATCCAGCTGCTCCACTTGCCCGCCATAGCATAGGCCCTGCTCCAGCTGGGGCACAGACGGGGTGCATGAGCCTGAGCTGGCTGGGCAGACCCTTCCACCGCCACCCAGCCCTACTTACTGAGGACTCTAAAGCTTGCAGGGCCAGCGAGTCCTTCAGGATCCTCCCCAGGGCCCTCAGCAGCTGCTGTCTCAGGTTCTTTTCCATGTGCTCCAGTTCCTCAGAGCCAGCCTGCACCTCTGCCTGCAGGCCCTGGAAGTCTTCAGTGACAACCAACTCTTCAAGTGGCCCATCTATGGGGACAGAGAGCTGGCACTTCCTGGTGCCCACAGAGCCCTGGAGAGCCCTGCACAGGAAGGGCACACCCAAGGAGCAGAAGGAGAGCCCACAGGGGTCCAAGAGGGGTCAAAGTGCACCAACCTGACAGGAACTTGAGGCGGTCGTGGATGGACTCTAACACGGAGGAGAGTCTGAAGGCTTGCTTCAGTGAGCTGCCTGCCCCTCGGGGAGGTTTGTGGCCTGGGCAGAGGTGTGAGGACAGGGGAGGGAGGACAGCATGGCTGAGTGCCAGAGTAGGCCTTCCTCCCTGGCCCCATCCCCAACACTGGCAGCCCAGAGCAGTGTGAGACCACAGAGGTCCGTGACACCTGGATGTGACCCCTGTGTGTGCATGTGAGGAGCCTGTCCTTTGGGGAGGCTGTCCAGCACCACGGGTCCTGAACACAGGAGAAGGCCTTAATAGCAAAGGAAGGGTTCTCCCTTTGGACAGGCAGGGCTCACCTTTGGGGGTCCGTGGGAAGGTCCTCTGCTTCTCATCCGGGAAGAAGAGTATGTCTGGCGATGGGTGGGAGCAGAGAGGGGAAGGAGGTCACCAGGATCCCCTCCTGCACAGGCCCCCTCCCCAGGTGAGGCCTGGCCTCAGTCTTCCACACACCAGAGCCCTGGGAGGTTGAGCAGCCAGATGCCTGCAGCAGCCCCTAGGCAGCCGGTGGCCCTCCCAAGGCCTTCCACCTCTCCATGGCGTCTGGGCCCCAGAGACATTCCCCAGCTTCTACTGACCCCAGTCAGAGCCAATGATGAGTTGGGCCACTCGAAATGCAAGGGTGCTGCCTGCGGGGACGGTGACCGTATTCTTCCGGCTCAGGTGGCCCTGGCTCTCACCCTGAGGGATGAATAGACATAGCAGGACTGGGCCCTAGGTGTGGGGACGTGGGGTATGTTGTGTGCTGGGTGCTAGTAACAAGCTGGCTACTGGTGTCAGCCAACCCAGGCTTTGGGGAGCCCTGGGTCAAGCGTGGGGCTGTGAACTGCTCCCGCAGGGCTCTTGGCAAAACCTTGCCTGCTGCCACCCTGCATTCATGTCAGGCCAAGATGGGCTGAGGGCTGGCCACACACCTGAAGGCACATGTTTCCAGGCAGTGCAAACTGGCCAGAGCCCTCCTTCTTGCGGGTTTGGGTGACCTTCACCTCTTCCTGGGTCTGTAGCACCTCCGTCACCACATACACATTGTCTCTGCGATTCCTCAGCTGCTGCAGGATCTTGTGTTCGGGCTGCCGCAGGCGCCTGCAGGAAGCTCACTGG